CCTTATAATAAACCAGTAAACATAGGTGTTTCTTTGAGTTCTGTGAGTCATTATAGCAGGTTATGGACCCTGCAGAGGGGGTTGTAGGAATCCATCAATTTGTACTAAGTCAGACAGAGCGTGGGTACCCACGATTTGCAATTGACAACTGAAGTGGTGGTCAGTCATGTGGAACTGATCTCTTAACTCACAGAATTTGCTCTAATCCTAGGTGGGGTCCATATTCAGTTAAATTCTAGGACACCTAGCTGGTGTCCACAGAAATCTGGATCATTGTTTGATATGGAAAACCCACACGTTTGGCACTCTGTTCTGTGAGTAGAGAAACGAGTTTTTCCTTTAACGCTTTATAAAGACAGGCAGCTTAGAGTAACAAATGGGCATCTCTGAGCCACCTTGCGCCTGGGCAGGGTGGTTTATTACATCAACTGTTCTCTTCAAAGCTGAGAAAGAAGAGAAGGTAGGTGCTGGGAGAGCTCTTTCTCCTAATCTCTCCTCCCTGCCATCCCCCCACCCCTGTGCAGTCTCCGGTATCTACAGCTGTCCTCCGTACTTCTGTATCTTCAAGTCCTTCCATTTCTTCCATAGACATTCAGGATCCATTGAGAAGGGCATACAGGGTTTGTCTTTCACAGTCGGGCGTACTTTACTAACTGCATTGGCTATTTTGGGTGATCATGTTTTGTTTGACCTCCCTTCTGGTGGTGGCACTAGTGAGCTGTGAAGCTTCCTGTCACTAGGGAGCTTACATGAAAGACTTGGCCAGATGTGAAGCAGGAGGCCTAGTAAAGTCCCACTAAAATCTGCAGAGGAAATCAGTTTACTAAGAATTAACAAACCAAATAAATAAATGAAGTTAACGAAAATTCTTTTAAAAAATTAAAGAATTAATAATGTCTGCAAAGTAGTGTAAAATATCCTAGATATGAAGAGACTTTTTTAGTAAGCTTGTGCAAAAATGTAATTAAAAGATAGCGATAAAAAATAGAAAATGTAATTCTCAGCGTAAGCTCCATCAAGTTCAGGACACTTTTATAGGTAACAATACTAGCCTAAAGACAGAATGTCTCAGGAATTTAACTATGTCATTGTAGTCTCATTTACATTGTTAATGGGTACCCTTTAAAGATTTTTTTAAGATAAAGAAACAAAAAGAAGTCAGGAGGAGTCAAAGCAGAATTGTACCACGAATGCTTAATGGTTTCCCTCCAAATGCTCACAATTGCCTCTCCTGAGAGGAATTCACAGGAACATTTGTTGTAGTCTAATCAGCGAGTAATGAAAGGACATCCAGACACAGCCAAATTTATTGGAATTTTCTTGATTAAGCCGGTGGCATACAGGGGACTCATGTCTCTCAAAACCCCGCAGCCCCGAGTGCAAGGTGAGGGGTGATTCTAAAGGCAAAAATTACACTCTTTTCTGGGTTGATGTGGCAATCACTGTAACAGTGGAGGGCTTGAAATCTAGGGGGTAGGATTAAAAGGGAAAAAAGGCAAAGAAAAACAAGCAGGTTAATCATTCCTTAAGGGTATGTTCCATCCCTACCTAAACACAATGGAATCTTAATGGTCTTCATGGCTCAGGGCAAGGGGTCTGGGGACTGGCGATTACATCACTAAGGAACATCTTAGGGTAGGGACTTCTGGGTTATTTAGCAAAGACGCTAGGAGTGTTCATCACTCTGGCAAAAGGAGAAAGCAAGTTTCCAATATAGAGAGGAGTTCAAAATAGAGGTCTACTTCAGCTAGTCTTCCTTTTTTAATCTAAGAGTTAGATAGGGAGAAAGAGACAGACAGACACACAACACCCTAACAGAGACTTGACACCATGATCTGCCCACAGCTTCGCCCAGCCCAGATCGTGGACACAGGTGTGCCCAGCATATTCAGGGAGCTTCAGACTTGAACTGGCAGCCTTTCTTGCTGGGCCTGCCTCACAGAGCATCACGTTTTACTGCTGTGCCATTGCCCAGCCTATTTCTTTTAAGTTTATTTATTTCTTTTTTCTACTGTAGGAGTAAGACAGAGAAAGAGAGAGAGAAACAGAGAGATGGGTACCCCCTGGATCATGGGCACATGTTCACCCAGCATGTTCAGGGAAGTCTCCAGATGTGAACACAGAACCTCCCTATGTGGGTTAGCCTTGCCGAGTATTAAGTTACCACTGTGCCACCATCTGCCCCAGTCTTTGATCTTGGTTGATCAGTTTTTGCTAGGCTGGACCCCTTTCACCTCTGGGTTATGCTTTGTCTTCAGGATCATACAGGAAATCCACGTGTCATCTCTTATGTCTGTTTATGAAGAAATGCTTCAGAATCTTGTTCCCACTCATTTAACATTTCCACTGAGAGTTAGCCCTGTAGCCTAGTGGTCAAGGGAGCCAGATCCCACATGACCAGCCACCATTCAAATCCCAGGGCTGGCAGCTTGAAAAACACTCTGGGGGACCGGCAGGTGGTGTGGTGGTTAAGACTATGGACCTCCACATAGCTGACCGTGGTTTGAGTCTCAGACCTGGCAGCTTGCTTTCTTACTTTCCCTTTCTCTCCCTCTCTCTGCCTCTCTGGTCAAATTAAATAATATATAGAATAAGATATTTAAAAAGGAAAAGAAAAACACTCTGGGCACATGTGCATATGAGTCCTAGATCCTGATAGGAGGGAGAAATAGAGAAGAGATTCAGTATGACCTTTCCTCATTGGTGGTGGGGGGTTGCTTTCTCGCTTTCCTGCCTCTTTTCTCTCTCTTGCTGGTCAGCACACACACCCTCTGACAAGAAATTTCTTAAAAAGAAAGAAATCACTGTGGATGGCCTGCTGCTGCCAGTGTCATCGTCAACATTGTCTTGTCCCTCCTTAAGAGGAGTTATCCATTTATAAACTGCTGGTTTCTTTGAACATTATCCCCATAAACTTTTCATAAAGCATCAATGATTTCACCATTGCTCCACCATAAATTTGATGTTTGTTCTTGCTTCAGTTTCAGCAGAATTCAGGGTTCTCTGACAGGGGCTCTTATCCTTCTTAGTGCCTCAAACTAGATTTTTTTTTTTTTTCGAGATTGTTCAAACAAATTTACTTAATATTGATTAACTACAAATTTTCATGTGCAACACATGGCCACTATTACAGGATTTGGCCTTCTAGAGAAATACGTAAACAGGTATTCTATTAAGATTCTGCCTTCTTAGAAAGGTGAGAAATGACCCAAACTCCCAACCCAGAAAAAAATTATCTAAATTATCATATTCTTTAAAAAGTTCCAACAGGCTCTCCTCAAACTAGATTCTGTTCAGACATGTCATAACAATATAGTACAAGTTTATTTTGGTACAAAAAATTTTAGAAATCCATGCATAGTTTTGTCACAGTATGCATTCTCTATGAACTTTTTGAAAACCCTTGTACATATTGCTTTAGTTTAAGGCAATGTTTAAGAGAGAGATTTAGGCCAGATCTGTGGCCTAGTGGTTAAAGGAGCCAAATCCTACATGACCAACAGCGTGGTTTGAGTTCCAGTCCCAAAAGCTTGAAAAATATTCTGGGATCATGTGAATGTGCATGCATGCCTCAAATCCTGACAGGACGGAGAAATGGAAAAGGGAGAGAGGTGTGACCTCCCCCGACTGAAGGTATTTTCTCCCTCTCTCTCTCGTGAGTACACCTGCCCTCTGGGAAATTAAAAATAAATAAATAAATATGGAATTGCTTAAATATTCATATATTAGTTACCTTGAAAGAATACCAAGTTGTTGACATATTTTCTAGTGGGATGCCAAAAAGTGTTCTCTATATCTAAGGTTCTGAAAATTTTGTTTTGTTCTGTTTTGTTTTTCTTGGGGGGCTCATTGCCAGAAAAGCAGCTAGGTCAGAAGCTAAGAGTTAGTTTTGATTTAGCATCCACCATTAATGATTGTATACTACTACTTTTTTTTTTTTTAAGAATTACTTATTTAATTTCATTTATCGTTATTATTATTATTATTTAGTTTCTGTAGAGCATGTACACTCACCAGAGAGAGACAGAGAATGAGAGAGAGAGAGAAAGTAAGCCACTAGGTCTGGGACTTGAACCATGGTCGGCCATATGGGAATCCAGCTTCCCAACCACCATGCCACCTGCTGACCTGCCTGTATCTTTTTCATACTTCTCATAAAGTGGGAAATTTAAGAAGGATTACTTCTTAACAAAATTGAAAAAAGAATTTAAGCTCCAAAATGGTTTTTCTAAATGCCTTTTAAATAGAAAATGACTGTGTCACTTTTTAGAGATCTTGAAGATCTGTGAAGATCTGGAATTTCTGCTATTTTGACTTTTTCCTAAGTCTTACTGTTGATGGAGTTTGGCACAAAAAAAAAAAAACTCAAAATTATGTTTTCTCTAGCCAGTCATTAGAAGTGTCTTAATTCTGGGGACCAGCAAATGGCCTAATGGCTACGTCGCTGGACTCCCATGTAGTCAACTGCAGTTTGAGTCTCGGATCTGGTGGCTTAAACTCCTGCTGGGCACATGTTCGTCCTAAGAGGAGAATGGAGAAGGGATTGCAGAGTGGCTATCCCCCCGGGGGGTAACTTCTCTCGTTCTGTTAAGTGTCTTACTTTATTTATTTACTTATTTATTTTGGAGAGGTTTTTGCTACAGGGCGCATGCCCTCGCCAGAAAAACAGAGAGAGACAGAGAAACAGAAAGCAAGAAATTACCCCCCGGGGGAATGGTCATGCCGCAATCTCTTCTCCATTCTCTTCTCGGGATCTTGTGCAGGCACGCATGAGTTTAAACCACCGGATCTGAGACTCGAACCACAGTCGACTACATAGGAGTCCATTGATGTAGCCATCAGGCCATCTGCTAGTCCCAAAGTGTCTTAATTTTTAGCTCATACAAGATCATTTGTAATTACGGTGTAGTAACCCCCTGAAAGGAAAGGGGCAGAAGGGGGACTGGAAGGGCTGGGTCCCGCTGGGACAGTAAATATGAGCTGCCCCATTTCCTTTCTAGGTGGAGGAGGAACTGCAGGAGCAAGATTTCTTGGACCGTTGCTTCCAGGAAATGCTGGATGAAGAAGACCAAGACTGGTTTATCCCGTCACGAGACCTGCCTCAGGCTATGGGACAGTTGCAGCAGCAGTTAAATGGACTGTCAGTCAGCGACGGTCATGATTCTGAAGATATTTTGGTAAGAGCCATATGAGTCCCATGTGCGATGTAGTGAAGGTATGGGTTTGGAGTCACATGCTCTCGTTGTGGTTCCACAGCCTTGGCAAGTCCCTGGAGCCCTCTGAGCTGCAGTTCTCTCCTCATAAGGGCTTTGATAACAGGCTGTATTCAAGACGTATCGTTCCTTATAAAGCAGTATGGAAACAGTGTTGTTGCCAATGTCACCAACTTTCATTTTTTCCTAATGGGCTTTTCCAAGTATGATTGGGAATAAGGATAAAAATTGGAACACTGAAAGTTTGGTTTCAAATGATCATTTGTGGGTGTCTTTCTCTTTTACTGTTTCCTAAATCTGTATTTAATATCTTCCTGAATGATTCCATTATAAAAATTGCCTCTTCATTTTGCAAAAACCATACTCCTGAAAGCCCATTACCCATTTAGGAGCCCAGATCAATGAATCCCCTACCTTTTACGCGTTAACGACTCTCTGAGTGATGCAGCTCTCACCCAGCTGGCGTTCTGATGCCAGTGCCCTGCAGTTTGCAGGGTTGGGATGTAATGAGAGAGTAGTTAGCAAAGAGGGTATGGAAAGATGAAGTAAAACAGAGATTGCAGTAGGCTGACTCCATGGCCTGATGGTTAAAGCTGGATCTCACATGGCCAACCACACAGTTCGAGTCCTGGACTCAGCAGCTTGAGAAATATGCCTGGCACATGTGTATATGGGCCCAAAATCCCAAAAGGAGGGAGAGATGGAGGAAAAAGGATTACAGGGTTACTATACCCCATGGTGTGGTGGTTAACGAGCTGGGTTCCCACGTGACTGACTGCATGGTTCAAATCTTGGACCTAGTGGTTTGAGAGACAGCACCAGGCGCATGTGTTGTGCGTACCCAAAACCCCAAGAGGAGAATTCAGGGGAAAGGATTGCCATGTGGCCATTCTTCCTGGGGGATAATATCTCTCTCTCTGCCCTGTCCATCAAGTGCACACGACCTATAGCAAAAACTGAAACAACAACAACAACAACAAAATAAAAACAGGTTGTGGTAACCAAACTGGTTTGATGAAATACCTTGATTTTCACCAAGTTAGGGTACTCAGTGAATTGAAGAATTCTTTCTGGAGTTGAACTTCCAGGTCTCTGGTGAGACTTTGAAAAGCATCATGAAGGGGCCAGGAGTCTGAAACAGGAAGGAGAAAGTGAACTCAGTCAGGGCTGAGGACGTCAGGAGCTGTGGAGAGGCGCCCAGCAGTCATAGGTTGTTAGAGGCATTTTTTTTTCCTCTCCTTAAGGCTAAGGGGAAGGTATTGCTAATACTGAAAAGGGGGACAAAGTGAGTTTTAAAGAGCAGCTTGCCTGGGGATTTATTATCTCTTGGTTCTTATTTCAGAGCAAAAGTAACCTGAATCCGGATGCCAAGGAGTTTATTCCAGGAGTGAAGTACTGAGCCGGCAGAAAGCTTCAAGGAGGCTTTCTCTGTCCCCACATCTGGGAATGCTGATCACAAAATGGCCAAGCTGGGGGTGGGGGGTGAGGGGTGCAGAGTGGGGAAGGGGTGATGGTGGTTTAACTTGATACTGTGACTCTGAGTAACTAATGTGCTCAGTCTTAATCTCCAAGCCTCTGAGTATTTCTCTTCTGTTCTACTGCCTTTTCATTTGGAGCAGTTTCCTGTTTTGTATTTGTTATTCATTAGCTCTTAAGTTAAGGAAATTGCAGGTTTTTCCCCCTTCATCAGGAATGTTCTGCTGTGTGTGTTTAAACAAAATAAGCTGACCAAGAAAAACCAGGTGTTTAAGAAATGCCCTTCTCGCGCCACTATATACCTGCCAGGGGCAGCGAACACCTGAAGAGCCACCTGTGGAGTGTGTCCGTCTGGCTGGTTGGAAAGTGGAAGAAGCAGCCCAGAACATGGGCTCAGCCCCTGGAGCATCCTCAGATAAACTGGGATACAAGACCCACGGATCCCTGCCCTGAGCCCCATTCAGGAAAACAGACTTTCAGTTCTCGGTTTACAGTAAGTCTTGATAGTTGATGAAAGGTGTCAATCAGAAGGGGAGGACCATGATGGTGACTGTCACGTCACTTGTTACTGTTCTGTTCTTAAGCCTCTGTTTCCAGCTACCATCGGACTCATTTGCAAGGTAAAATAATAGTGCCAGGGTTCACTCTGCCCCTCACGTGTCATTCCCGTGTCCTTACCACCCCACCCCGACCCTTGCTCAGTTTTTAAGAAGAGTGTTAACCAAAGGTGTAAGAGCCAGCCTCACTGGCCATAGGCTTAAGCCTGGAGAAGTCATCTTTGAATCCTATTGGTTGTGTCCTAAATTTATTTGGACAAGATTTTTTTCCCCAGCTTCATCCACACTTAGTTTTCCTGGTATCTTAATTCCTTCAGAGATTTATGTACTTTTTCAAAGAAACATATTTTCAGAGTACTGGCAAGAAGCTCAGTTCACTCACAGTTTGGATACTTCTCCTCACCTTAGAGAATTATCCAAAGGAGCTCAGAACACCTAGCAGAGTGGGCCTTGCTTGACACACATGGCCACGAACCAGCTCGCCTATGTACTTTCAGCTACTACGAAATTTCATTGTTCCCACATATCAGCTGTGCAAATTTTTTAGATTGGCCTCTCTGGGTGTATTCCTTCTGTCTTTGGGGTTTCACTGGGGTTTTGTTGATAACTCACTGGGGTCTTTTGTTGCTACTCCTAAGGAACTGAGCCCAACCTCAGGAGCTGCCTTTATAGAGAGATGTGGGTGACAGTCGTATAGAAGAGGGCGTGCCTAGTCCTGGTCCTTCTTCCTGGACAAGGACTTGCAGAGGCCTGAGGGTGATGGTGGCTTCTGTCTGACTGCTGCTGTACTGTGTGATTTGCCCGTGAGGAAAAGGTCACGTAACTTGAAATAAAGTCAGTGTAGGTTCAGTATGTGAGTGTGGGACAGAGGTTGGAAGGAAAGGACTAGGGTCTGGAAAGCTGAAGGAATTCTTTTTCTTATGAAGTCCTTTGTTGACTTTTTGAATAGCCACAGGCTAATGTCAGATTTAAAAGACAAATTTACATCTTTTCCCTCATTCGAGTCTCTAGGGTGGTGTATTTGAAAAATGGCCTTCATGTTAGATGACATGTCACAGACGAGCGGCTTAGGGAACTTGTATTGCCAAGCATGCATATTAACTCCCAGAGCCTCTATGTCAGAAGAGTGGGCTGTAGACTTTACTTCAGGGAAGACTGTGCATGAAGCAGCATCTTTATTCCAGCTTCAGCTTTCAGCTAGGGGTTGTTTCCTCTATGGAGAAGACATGGAAGTAGATAAATGGAGGAAATCTCTTTTCTGGGGCTACTTTTTCACCTTCAGTCTCCATTAGCCTGTCTAAGCTGAGAATTCTGAAGACTGTTGGAAATGTGTTACAATTACAGAAAGAGCCATTTTCAACACTGGGCATCTCTGTCACAACCAGCACAATGGATTCTTGTTTGGATGCCCATCTAGAAACTAACAGGGATCCAAGATCGAGCCATTTATCCTAAAGGTTTGCTCTTTTGGTACCAAAGAGCAACTGAGCTACTAGGTCCTGTCCGAAGGGCCCCCCTTGCCTTCTGCTGTGCTGGTCCAACTAGGATGTCGGTCTTCAGCTGGGCTCACAGGTATATTTGGTCGGGATAGGACAGTGTTATGTTAGATAAGCATGAACTCTGAGGGCTGAAGTTTCCACTCGTAGCCAGGCACAGAGTGCGCCAACTTGAGGATCAGAAAGCACCTGGCAAGGGGATCCTTTGTAACATGTAGGACCGAGGTTCCAGTGGTCCCTCTTGTAGCCCCCTCTTCTCACCATCTGCTTTTTAGTGTGAGGTGGGAACCCAGGTGCCACCCAGATCACAGGCTCAGCTATAGTTAAGTTTACCAACTTCACAGCCGCACTGGTGCTCACAGCTGTGACACTGTGCTCCTCGAGTTTGGACCACATGGGAGGCCCAGGTTCGATTCTCAGTCCAACCTAAAGGTCAGGTGCAGCAGCCAGTGTCTGAGATCCCAGCTGGGAGGCTGAGAGGCCGAGGCAGAAGCAGGATACAGCAAGACCCTGGCTAAAACAAAACAGAAACACAGTGGTTGGAGTTTACCAACTTCTTAGTTAAAAATGCATGCAGGTCTGGTTGGATTTTACTGGGGAAGGGCTGGAAGGTCTTCAGAGCGCTCTAGGAACTTGCCACAAGTTGTAGGCCTCTGACTTTTCCCTCATAGGATGTTCTGAGTTCAACCCAGGCTGGACGCTTTTACCCTTTAATGGTGAGGCTAGTATTTATAGGTAATAATTTTGATTTTGAATTTAAGTCACTCTTCTATTTATTGACAACTGGAAGTTTGAGAATTTGTATAGAAACGAAATATGTATTTTTAACAGCTGCCGATCTGGCTGATCCCAATATTAGGTTTTTAATGGTTGATTTTTAATTATTGGGATTATTCAACTCTAAAACTCCAAGGTTAAAGTAATTGGTCTCTTTCTCTTCAAGGGAGAAAGTAAATAAATAAATAAAGGAATGCCTTTTCTATTTCTTCCAGCCTTTAAACTGTTGTAGATAACTCAATGATACAGAGTAGACCTGAGCACATGCAGCTCTGGTTCTTTGGGTCAGTTTCTAAGTGTAATAGTTCTCTTTTGGGGGAATGAGCAGATGGCATAATGGTTACGTTATTGGACTCCCATGTAGTCAACCACGGTTCAGATCGTGAACCTGGAGGCTTAAAACTCATGCCAGATGTGTGTGTGTGCGTGCCCAAGATCCTGAGAGGAGAATGGAGAAGGGATTGTGGTATGGCCATTCCCGAGTATGTGTGTGTGTGTGTGGAGGGGGTGGGTAGTTCTTGCTTTCTGTCTCTGTCTCTCTGGCAAATGCACGCACCCTATAACAAAAATCTCTCAAAAAATGAAAATAAAAAATAGCTGGCTTTTGGGAATCACAAAAGGTCAAGTCAGAACAGAGCTTAAGGAAAAGGCTGGACCTTTGCAGCACCTTTAGTTTCCAAAGTCACAGCCGCTGGAGTCTCTTTATAATGCTAGCTATGGCTTAAAAGTAGATTTTTTTTTTTTTAGTGAAATACTGAGCACCATTACGCAAATCGTTGCCCTAATGTCAAAGTTTTGTCTTGGTTTGGGAGAGACTGGGAAGTAAGGAGGTCAGGTAAATTCTCTGACAATTTACATGTTAACAAAACCCCATGAAGAGGTAGTCAGAGCAAACAGCCTGAGTGGGTCTTCCTGGGTTAGGGCTGCCACAGACCCTGTGTAGACATGACTGCCTGTGCTCCTGAGGAACCCTACTGTGATCAGAGTGGGGCAGGCCGCCTTTGGTAAGGGTCCTGGCATTACAGACTGACGAGCTTTCTTATTTTCAGTGATACTGAGGTATGGGAACTGCTAGAAACCTGACACATGGAACAAGGTTTGGAGCTGTCCACCCACTGGAAAAGTCTGCCCTCCTCTGGGATAATGCAGACATCACCATTTGGGAAGTAGGGGAGACAACAGGGGGACTGACCCTGATTTAGTATATAACGGGGGCTTTGATCACCTCCTGCCTCTGTCTGCAATTCCCATAGAGGGAGTCATTTCACCCCTCATTGCCCATAGAGGTCATTAGTTCTGCTGATCTCACTGAGTGGTATGCCGAGAACCTTCTGCAGCTACTGCTCTGCCGCCTTGTGAATTCTCTCACAGACCTGTTTAGTCACCATTCGGACCTTTTTCCTCCTCTGTTTTCATCTCCCATGGTAAAGCTGCTATTGGTGACAGGGCCAGGGGAGCGGGAGGCCGAGCTGAGGAAATACTCCTGCATATTCCTTGGCCTCTTTTCACTTGGCCTTCTGCCCCCACGGCCCAAACCCCTGCTGCTATTCCCAGCCCACCTCATTTTTAGGGGGTCAAGGGAATAGGACAGATAGACAAATATCACTCTATCTATAATGACGTAGAGAAATCTGTAAAGAGACAGAACCATCATCTTTATTTTAAAAGAGAAAGCTCCCTTAGATTTTACTAGGAATCTCTTTGTAAGATTTGCTGAGTTTTTTTCCCCCCTCCTACCTCCTTACTGGCCACGCTTTATTTAAAAATTATAAACATGTAGGCTAATATTACAAAAAAAATACTAAGATAACGGTAACATCTAAACAGTGTTACTATTGTATAGTTACTGATGCATTTGTAGTTACATGCATTTGTAGAGAACAGTAAAATGTTTCACTTTGTAAATCAACACTAAGTGATAATCTTGTTGATTATAAGCCTTCAAAAATGTTTAATGCTTGAAGGGTAGTTTGGGAGGCAGGCAGTCCCTTTTTTGTTTTGTTTTGTTTTTTTAGTTATTTCAATAGGAATATCTTACATCTCATAAGGCTCACCCATTTCAAATACATAATGATTTTAGGAACTTCCCTTGGTGGCGCAGCCATAAGCATTACTCGATTTCAGAGTATTTCATCCCTCCCATAAAATCCTTCCTGCTTCCCACCCCCAGCTCCAGGCAACCCCTGGCCTCTGTTCTGTCTCCAAGGCTTCGCCGTTTCGGGACATTTCATATTGACGGAATCATACAGTATGTGGTCTCGTGTCTGGCTCTCTTTATTTAGCATATTTTTGAGGTTCATCTATGACACGCATTTTGGTAGCCTGTTCCTTTTATTGCTGGGCATTATTCCGTTGATGGACACATGCACTACATTTTGTCAGCAGAGAGCATTGCACATTTGGATTTCAAGTTTCTGTGGTCTAAATGGACCTTTGTGGACAAAGGGCTCCTAGAGAAAGCTGCTGCGCCACTGAACAGAACCAACTTTGCATCAGAAGCTCCACTGGAGGAGCCGGAACTGCTGGGGGCATTTTTGATAACTTTGCAACTTTTTTCTAAGGACCTTTTGTGCCGTCCACTGCACGTCAGGACTTTGGAAGCATTGATAAATCCATGTAATAAGTATGAGCGTGTTTCAGTGGACAAAAGTGAGACCGTTCGTGCTATGTTGGATGTTTTCCCTCCCCTAGACTGGATGGGGGAATCTAAACTTTCTAAACATGGTCATCTGTCTCCATTTACGAAGCTGAACACACATTATAGATGGCGCTGACTTCGTTAGATTTAGAGGGAAGGAGGGTCAACGGCAGAGGTGGAGAGGAGAAAAGGGGTGGAGCTTGTGGAACCAGAAGACCCCAGAGGGTTTGTGCATGGCCCACCCCAATGTTGGTGTGGATGGTGAAGTGCTGGCAGTGCCCTGGGGCAGCCTGGCACCTCCAACAGGCCCAGAAGGTCTGGATTTTGGACTCTTATTCCGGTTCAGTGTTGAAAAATGTGTCCCCAAAATTCTGAGAAGAGAATGAAAGAGAAGAGATTGCGGCATGGCCATCCCTCATGGGGGTGGGGGTGATTTCTTGCCTTCTGTCTCTGGATTTTGGACCCTTATTCCGGTTCACTGTTGAAAAGCTGTTTTTGCTTTTGTTTTGTTTTCCTAGATAAACATTATATGATAGTTAGTAAAACATGGGGGGAGGACCTGGGCTTTAACATTAAAATAATTTTCATAAAAACATCAAAAATGGGGAAAAAAGTTACTTTTTAAAAAGTTTGCTATACAAACTAAATGGCAGCTGTTGAGAATCTCAATAAAATAAGAATAAAATGCA